TTAGAAAGTCTTTAGACACTATCTGCAGGTCAGGTTATCATAAGGTTTTGAGCTCATGTGATAGTGTCTATGTGAGGGATACTTGTGGACACATACGCAAGAGGATATCAGGACACATAACCGCCTGCAAAGGTTTATGGATTCAGAAACCGGAAGTGGTTGAACATGGGGTCGTTACAGGACACTAGATAGAGTGGTCTAAATCTCACCGTGTTAAGGGATATGGGGACTTCACAGCTAAGTGGAAGATCAAGGAGTTGATTGAAATTTACAAAACAATGAACATTCTGAATAAGATGAATCAATGTGAATAGAATTAGAGAAAGAGACAAAAGAAAGGGAACAGAAAGAGCCGCTGAGTAAGAAAAGATTTGACTAAGCTGCCATCTAGTTTCGGAGTTTCATGAGTGCTGCATACACATAACACACACTCATCCTTCCAGGATTACAGGATCATGCGCTGGTTTATTTACATACACAAAAGCTGTGACCAAATCCGCTCCCTTTCCTGCATCACTTTGACTCGCTTACATGCATGCACGACAAGCATGAAGCAGCCAATCAAATCTTGGAATGGCACATTAAGATCGCAAAGTGAGGTGGTAGAAGTAGGTAGGATCTCAGTCGGCCACATTTTTTGGTTTAGCGTCTTTTGGTGATTGTTCGCGAATAATGGTTTCTAGCTCTGATCATGTCCGTCACATGAGAGACGAAAGCTCAGCACGGAGTCATCGTGTTCTCAGGTTGGTGGGCTGTGGTCTTCTTCGCACAATCCAACAATCACAAGCCCATAACAACCCTCGTTCGGTGTCTGGTGGGGCCAATTTATGAATCCCTTCCAACCGCCATCTCAAGCGAAATGAAAGGTATGCCAGTATTTAAGCTGGACACACTCCTGGCGGATCTGACTAACACCGTCTGCACTTCTGTCCACCCACCTCTTCACCACCCACCTCTCTTCGGCTTTACTGTGTCTTCACTGCTTTAGCCCCCACTTACGCCTTCTGCCTCACCACCTTCACATTAATATCTATCTTTATCGTCAGCTTTGCTCTCCTTTTCACCTTCCATTTCATATTCATCACCTTAACTTTAATTTTCACCCAAGTCCTCTTTCCCTAACCTTTTCCTTTCCTTTTCCCCTCCATATTCTCTTTCACTTTGTCCTTTTTCTTCACATTCACTGGGTTTCATTTTAATCTTTATTTTCACCTCTACCCTCACCTTCGCTTTACCTTAACTCTCCTTATCCGAAGAACGAGTCATAAACTTTCGACCCCATCCTCATCTGCACCTTAGCCTCCACCTTCACCTACCCCCTTCATTTTTACTTTTAACTTCACCCTCCCTTTTACCTTCTCATTCACCCTCACCTTCACCTTCATCTTCCCCCGTACCTTCACCTCCACTTTTATCTTCCTCTTCTCATCCATTTTCCCTTTATTTTTTCCCTTTTTTTTCACCCATGCCTGCACCTTTTCACTCACTTCCTCATTTTCCCCTTTTATTTCATCACCCCCACGTTCCTCTTCTATTTCTTCCTCACATCCACCTTCACCTTTATCTCCAATTTTCATTTAGTTTTTATCTACACGTTCACCTTAGTTTCCCTCTCTCTCTTCATTTTCATTTTGATTTGTATCTTCACTTTCATTTTAAATTTATCTTTTTTACATTTACCTTCCTTTTCACTATCTATTTCATTCTCAGCTTCACTTTCTCGCTCACTTTCCTTTTCTTCTCTGACTCCCCTTTTACTTTTTCATCAACCTTTATTCTTACTTTCATCCTTTTCACTTTTATCTTTTCTTTCCTATACTTTCTGTTTCCTTTTTCGCTTTTATCTTCACATTCACCTTCTTTGTCTCCATCACCTTCACCTTTACCTTTACCTTCTTCTTAATTCTTACCCCCTTTTCACTTTCTCCTTCATCTTCTTCTTTGCCTTCATTACCTTCCCTTTCACCTTTCCATTATCCTCCACCTCCTTTCTACCCTCAAAATTCTCGTTCTTTTTTCCCTTCAGCACCTTCGCTTTCTTTCACTTTCATCTTAACCCTCTCTCTCATTTTCACTTTCTACATCGTCCTCCCCTTTAACTTCATACTCTTCTTGTCCACCTCCAACATCTTTACCTTCATCGTTATCTCCAACTCCTTCAATTTTACCTTCACCCTCACTTTAGTCTTCCCCTTCCTCTACGCCATCATTTTCAATTTCACCCTTACATTTAGCTTCATCTTTTTAAAACTGGCTCTCCCTTTCACTTTTTATTTCACTCTCCTCTTCACTTTCACCTTCACTTTCCCTCAATCGCCTCACTCGTGTCCCCTTTCCTTCTCCCTGCTCATGCCTCATGATCAGACTCTAATCTCTGACATTAGGGTTGCCTACTCACGTGTCGGCTAGGTTCCATCTAGTACGTCTTTTGTCCCAGTACAGATATTTTTCTGCCCACAGTACATATCGCCTGTTGTTCGGTCTTCTTAAATTATTAAATCGAGTACCATAATTGAGTGAGTAGGTTTTCTAGACTACCAGTAAATCATATATATGAGTTAATTTCACCCTATTTCGTCCACCCTGGGAATGCAAGGCTATGTAAAATTCAATTGAAAATACGAGATCTACTCATATAATTGTGGGAAAATTCAACTACCAGTCCTTCACCGCCTTTATAAAATTGAGTGAAAACTACTAATATATCGGATTTACTGGTAGTCTCGAAAACCTAATCACCTGTCGTCGATTGCTATAGCAAATACAAGGTTGCTTCATCGACAATCCCAACACAGAATGTGATATGGAAAGTGCCTGACATTCCTAAAAATTCTCATCTGACGTAGTGGTTAACGTGTCGAGCTTACACACTGCACTGCCATGGTTCGACTCCCGCTGGTGGCGTTGATAAGACATATCTGAGGTCGAAACTGCAGTCCACCCGGGATGTGAACACCTTTTGGGAAAGTAAGGCTATTTCAAATTCAATGGAAAACATAAGCTTTATTTATATCATTGTGGGAAAATAAACTATCAATTCTTCATCACCTTAAACGAAATAGAGTGAAAACAACTCATATATCCTAATTGAATCTAAATTGACTTATACGCCACAACTGCTCTCATGAGAACGTCCGTGCGGGTTCATAGCGCATGAATCTTTTATTTCCCTCTTCTCTTCTCTATCCCTCATTCCTACCTCACTACCCTCCTGTCTCGCGGCCGGCGTGCAGGTTGAACTGAGCGAGTGTATACAGCTTCTCGACTGCTTGTCTTCACTCCGTTATCCAGACGGTTGTCAACCCGTAGAGCGCTTCCAGCCCGACCTTCGGACCGCTGACACGATGTTTGAGATCGAGAGCCAAGCCAGTCATGTTGTAGAGCTCTACAGCGAGCTGCATGGGTGCCTCGATGTCTGCATAAAGGTAGGTCTCTGAGGCGAGCTCTTGCCGCCACGGTTGTTGGAACTCTGGGCGGAAGTGAGCTGAGTGGGTGTGCGGAGGGTCCAGCCCGGTCTGGTCTCAGCGGGATGGGTCACATTAGCCGAGGGGTCTTTTAAGCTGTGGATCTTCCGCACATGTCTGCCAGTCGTTCGCTGGGTTCTTGCGAAACGACGCCTCCTCCACGACTTGCTGACTCGGAGCGGATCATGAAGCTTATTGAGCTCTTCTTGTCCCTTCAAGAGGGGCCATTCGGCCAGCATCGGAGCCGCAAGGCACAAGAATCGAACTATTTGACATGATTGAGTGTAGCCTCTTACCGAATTGCAAAATCCGATGCTGATTACATTTTACTCGATGCTTTTTTGCTTCACTCCAGATATGATGGCCAAAGTCCCCAATGTTTCATCGAGTCAAGGACATCACTGCCCTCAAAACTGCCAAAGCCTGTCTGTCTGTCTGTCTGCATCACCTCTATACTAGATAATTCGACTCGGATCGGGATCGATGGTGTTTCGAGGGTGATCTGGCTTTGTCGGGTTGGTTTTTGGTTGGATCGAGAGGGTCAGTTGACCCGTTGGCGATTCCGTGTCGTTTCGAGGGGTCCTCATCGATTACATCGTATGGTTGCTGCTGACTTCAAGTCCGTTGATGGCATGACAAAAACTCCGGAATATCAAACTAAGAAAATATGTGTCAGGACTGAAGTGAAGTAAGCAGAAGGAGATGTTGATGGCCCCGAATTGGTGTATGGTTAAGTGTGGCCATGTCGTATATCCTCCTCTTTCTGAGGCTGCTAGAATGTGAGGGGCACTGCTTCAGTATGTGCACCTGAGTGTGGACATGCTAAGGAAAATCACACCAGGTGGGTTCTGCCTATGGAGATTTATGTGAATATTTTTGAAGACTGTATTTGCGAGGTTGACTATGTTCTCAAAGCTCAAGTAGTACGTGGGCGTGATAAAAGGAGACGATTGGAATGCCAGCGGAGGGATGAAAATGTTTGGAACCCTCAGGTTTGGGATGGCTTTAAATGTGTGCTAAATTGCAAGTCTTCTGCCAGTCTTTAGCCGCCCACTTCAAAAGGAAGTGAGGATGAAACTGAATAGGGAGTATAGAGGATGAAACAGGTATGCTTCATTGCAGCCTTGTTCCTGACTGTGGCGATTCTCCTCTCCCTCGGTTCTAAACGAGGCTTTGTAGTATTCATCATCATTTCCGATTTATTGAAAATTGCTGAACTTCTGTCATAGATTAAGGCTTCTGCATTGTTACTCCAGTACTCAGACCATCATCCTTCGTGGTCCCTGAAATCTGGAGACCTACGTCTGGTTGGCACTGTAGCATCCAGACTGTTGGCTGGCTAGGTTTGTGCACGGAGAGCTTTTGTTTAAAACAACTTCGAATTAGGACAAATGGAAACCATGGAATTGTCTTGTTATGTAGCAGAGATTTTGGTTGGGCTGAATTGGTCTAGTGCATTCATCTCAAAACTGGGTTGTTGCAAAATTTGGTTTTTAACAGAAATTTGTAGACCCGTAGGTACGACGACAGCGTCAAGAGGAATGCTGTCCGTACTGACGAGATGCGATTGGAAAACAACAAATTCACAAACACACCGGACAGTACAACAAAAAATTTGGTTAATGCAATAGCACAAATGTGCATGCCTTCTAATAGCCCGAATCTTCTTCGGCCTCCGACAATTCCCAACGGATTTTAGTATTATCGTAGACATGAAGACCAAGATGGTGCGGCGTCAATTTGGGTCGCAATCTCCTTTCTCTGTATAAAAAGTGGTTTAACTTCGCAACTTGCTTGTATTGTTAGGGTGATGCCCCGATGAAGGCACATTATCCGAACTTTTCTGCCATAGTTGTTATGATAATTTTAATCGTTAGAATGTGAATTTGCTACATCCCCTGAAATTTCGCCGGCATCAGTCAGCCATCCTT